TACATCTAGCAATTGGAATACAAAAGAACACATCTGGCGCTGTTATTTCATTTGCTGAAAAATCACTGTTTTCTTCTTTGGTGCTCCTGGACCTGGAGAGTTAATCGTTCGAGTACAATTCATGAGTAGAAAGATAATGAGTTGCATATTCAGAAAATAGATTCACTTTTCACCCACATGGACTGCTGAATTTTTATTGCTATTGCTTTAATGATGTGACTATTATGTACTCCTAATGTTTGAGATTCCTTGATATGTGGTTGACCATATTACTGTTTGTTCTTTATGCAGGAAAGGGAGCATGCTCTTAGGTCCTTCAAGAGTGGAGCAACTCCCATCCTTGTGGCGACTGATGTTGCTGCTCGTGGTCTTGACATACCACATGTTGCCCATGTGATTAATTTTGACCTCCCTAATGATATAGATGATTATGTTCATCGGATTGGAAGGACCGGACGTGCTGGGAAATCTGGTCTGGCGACTGCATTCTTCAACGAGAGCAACACTACGCTTGCAAGGCCGTTGAGCGATCTCATGAGAGAGGCCAACCAGGAGGTTCCTAAGTGGCTCGGACAGATGCGCTGCCCGTTCAGGCTACGGAGGCGGAGGTGGTAGAAACCGCAGACAAGGTGGCGGTGCCAGATTTGGTGGCCGTGATTTCCGGCGAGATAGGGGCAGTGGTGGAGGTGGCGGTGGTGGTGGATATGGGGGATCATCAGGATACGGTGGTGGCTATGGCGGCAGCGGCAGCAGCAGCGGCTATGGTGGTGGTCAGAGTATGAGTTCTTGGGACTGAACCAGACTCTGGTGAGAAGTTGAAAAATGGGTCAACCGTGATCAAATTAGTCCCTGTTGGGTGGAACGAATGCTTCGAATTTGTTGCTTGACTTGACGAGTACGGTGTCGGGAAATGTTCCCTTTGCCTTGGTTCTGGTGAAATCTTGTGTTTTGTGTTGTACTAGGGATTGGCTTTATGTTATTATCTGAATTGGTGGGTTCTACGCCTCATGCTTGTGACGCCTCTTTTCACAAAATATCTTTTGCATTTTATATCATTTGCTTACTCCCGGTCATAGATATAATTTAATCAAGGTTTGTCATTTAAGTAAACCTCTCTTGACTTTGACCATCATCGCTATCAAAACTTAATGAACATAACATTGATGATATGAAATTTCTTATAAAACATACCTTTATGTAGATATCACTCTTTATTTACTCTAAGATAACATATTTTTATAGATATTTATTGGTTGAGAGTAAAATGTTCATAGGACAAACCTATATGGGTTTATATTTATGATGGAAGGATTGTGATGAGAGGAAAGTGTTCAGATGTTAACGTTCATGGGAATATTTGTGATTATTCAGGGTGTTTATATTTTTGATCGGAGAAGTTGATATTATTGTTCTCAGGGTAGCTCAGCTTTGTTTCTATTTTCTGTCGATCTCTGCCTCAAATGTGAGGAACGCCGACTTTTCATTTGCTACAAGCATGGCATTGGCATTTTGTTATTCCCCTGATGTTATGCGTGGGCATTCAATCGGATCAAGTTATCGCTTACTTTCTTTGAGAAATTTGGGATAATTAATGACTATCGGACTTGTGGATACAAATATGGTAGAAGAGCTCCGTTGGTAAGAGCATCTCCGAGAGTTCCTAAATTCTTTCCTAATCCTTGGTTTTAGCAAGATAAGAAAAAACTTTTCTCCAACAGCTTGTAATCCATCGTCCTAATCTTTTAGAACTTGGAAAAAAGTCACCCGTTCCACGTAAAGTTACGTGCTTCTGAGTCGCGTATCGTCTTTTCTCCCGCGCGTGTTTGTCGGAAGTTACGCGCTTCTGAGTCGCACGTATCTTTTTTCTCCCGTGCGTGTTTGTCAGCCAGTCTAAAGATGGAAGGGCGTGGAAAAAACAAAAAGTACAAAAGGGTTTCTGATGCAAATGTACAAGAGAGAATATATAAAAGTGGTTATGATAATTTAGAAATAGTATAAGATTTCTGATGTAAAATTGACGTCTATATTTTAGGAGTGGATTATTAAAAACTCCTGGAGATAGCCTTCTTTATTTCTTCTAATATTTTTTTAGGAGTTGTAAAATTTTATGTTTTTACGAAAAAAAAATTATGTACTCTTGGAAATGCCCTAAGTAAAATACAGTAAATCTTGGTAAATTGCACAACCGGGTCTTGGTAATAGATCTGGAAACGTTCCAAGAGCTCGTTCTCGTACCACTGATGCTTCGCCCTGTATACTTCAAAATAGAGAGAGTATTGTTTTTCCGAAAATTCAGATAAGACAACAATCAAAGATTTTTTTTAACACGAAAGAAGAATTATATTAAAACATAGCTGTGTATGTTATCAGGTTACAAGCACTCTAGAATACAATACGTGTACCCAGAAACTGTTCTACATCTATATTGTATTCACGCTTCATATAGCTCAAAAATCTCAAACTCAAACCTATATGACGAATTATATGGATGATCATAAAGGCAAACGCTCGGCAAAAGGCTTGAGAATGCCCAACAAATAGCGGTCAACATTTCTCTAGATGGAGTTGAGCATAAGCTTCTTTTTTTTTTTGTCTTCATTCTTCCATCTGCCACCACTGAAGAATAAGGAAAACTAATTTAAGTCTTCCCAACTCAACTTCAGTGATCGGCTTGAGGGACATACTTGTTCTCATTAGTCCTTCATCGTGGTTAGATTTAACCACAACAAAATAGAGAAAAAACCAAAGAAAATTATTTCATGGCCGCAATATCATCTCTGCCTTGATGTCGCCATCCGCAAACCTAATTCTCTATGTCATCATGCCGAGGAAGTTGCTGACATCGTAGTTGTCGCCCTCATCTTCATCAGAGTCACCATGGAGAAACCAAATCTACTCTACATCCTCGCCATCGTCGAAAAGGAGGAGGAGACAAATCCCCAATACCAAAAAAAAACTTCATGGAGAGACGCTAACCCCTAATAAGACTCGATCTACTGAAAAACTTATTAGAGTGATGGATCCCCGCTCCCTCCAACCTCCAGCGAGTTGTCGGAGGGGGAAGGGGACCAGTGGCGGCCAGGACAGCCTCAGTTAGACCCAGGCGTTGAAAAGGACTTAGGACCGCATTTGGAGTCTGACTACGATTGAGGATATGCCAACCAAGAAAACAAATGAATTTTTTGAACAAGGGCGCAAGTATTTCATAACAAATGTTCATCAATTTATACTGAATTCTATTAGAACCAAAATATTAGAGGCAACATTATTCGGACAATAATGAAATATTTTTAGGCCCTGAATAATCTCAAGTAGGCTGCCGATTCGGATCGTGGAAAAGCACAGAATATTGCTTTCCAATTCATGGTCCGTCCAAACAAGATGGATGAAAAAAGCAAGTCCAATTTAGCCTAATTTAGAGGATCCAAACAGGTATGCGATGAATAACATCACGGGAAAAACAAAATGCCAATGTCGTCCTCGTAGCAATTGCAAATTTGGTGTTCCTCACATTTTTGAGGCAGAGATTGACAGAAAATAGAAGAAACAGAGATGAGCTAACAATAATATCAACTTCCTTGATAAAAATTATAAATCTCCTGAACAATCACAAATATAATCCCCTGAAAGTTAACATCTCCACAATTTCCTCTCATCACAAATATAGAGCCTTCCATTGTACAAATAAATCCATATAGGTTTGTCCCACGGACATTTGACTCTTAATAACTAGCAAATAGCTATAAAAATATATTATCTTACACAAAGAGCTGTGTCTAATAAAAGCGTGATTTATAAAAATTTTAGTAATCCAATGTTATGTTGTTAATCTATATCAAAGTTAAAATAAGATGACTTAAAACAAAAACCTAGATGATTTTTTTTTGTATGTGTGATCGGGGACAGGGAGTAAGCAAATGATATAAAATGCAAACTGATCCCAAAAAGATCTAGCTCGTGCTCGTTCTCACCCTTGCCATCAGTTGATCTACATTATACTCAAGGTCTATTTGGATCGGCTTGGGCTAGTTAGGGCTAAAAATTAGCCCAATTAGCTGAGGTTGGCCAACCACCAACTAGCTAGAGACTTGGCTAATAAAAAAATAGGTCGACATATTAGTCCTCTGTTTTGATAGGTTAGACTAGAGATACATATTAGTTGGCTAACAATTAGCCCTATACATCCAAATAAATACTATTAGTAGTTGTCTTACAAACCAAACCATATATTGAACATTTTAAGCCTACACATGCCAACCTCACTATTCTTGCTTACAATTTAGTGACGCGGCTGATGTGGTATGGAGAAACGGTGAGGTTGACACCATGTGCACCTGCTGACGTATGCAGCGGTTCAAAGTAAAAAAGAAAAGTGGTTGGTTTAGGCAACAACCCTGATTATTGGTGTGCCTTCTAATAAATGGACACAATTTGTTTTTCCCTTTTATTGCAATGCATATCATTCTTTCATTTAATGGAAAAGCAAAAAAAAAAAAAAATAGGTAGGTGATTCCCCGGTCAAAAAAAAAGGACACAGTAGTTGATCTGTTTGTTACTGTGATCCTCAAATGCTGGGGAGTTTGTGAAATTTACACAATAGCTTTTAACACCAATTTGGATATAGATTCCACACCACAAATTATATAATTCATCAAGCCTCACATCGCCTATTGTACTACATACATAAATCGGGAACAAATTGTTTAAAAATGTAGTGATTGAAGCATGGTTTAAAATATAATGGCCCAAGCAGAAGCGTCAGCAAGCCCGCAAATAGTAGGGTGATTCCCATCAAACCAGAAGCCAAAGATCGATTGAATGAAACTTAACATATATATAGACACATACGCGTGGATCACAATGTACCATTTTATATCATCAAATAATCTGAGTCGAAGAAACTTTTGCTGTCATGCTTTCATATCATATCAGGGTGTTACTGCTACCGTACCATTATTTCATCTGCACTGTCAAGCTAATAAGCTATCTGGTGGCTGGCCATGGAGGACACCCAAGAAGCTCTCCACATCGTCGTGTTTCCATGGCTGGCCTTCGGCCACATGATCCCATTCCTGGATCTCTCCAAGCGGCTGGCACGGCGCGGCCACGACGTCACCTTCGTCTCCACGCCGAGGAACGCGGCCAGGCTGGGCTCAGTCCCGCCGGAGCTCGCAGCGCGTCTACGCGTCATCAAGCTGGACCTGCCGGAGGTCGAGGGAATCCCCGAAGGCGCCGAGTCAACGGCCGACGTCCCGCCGGAGAAGGTCGAGCTCCTCAAGAAGGCGTTCGACGGTCTCGCCGCGCCGTTCGAGCGCCTCGTCGCCGAGGGCTGTGCTGCCGCCGCCGGCGAGGCCGAGGCGGCCGCGTTCTCGAGGAAGCCTGACTGGATCATCCTCGACTTCGCTCAAAGCTGGATTTGGCCAATCGCTGAAGAGCACAAGGTGATATATATATTTCGGTAGCATGTGCTAATTAAAAGTGAGTATTAATTAGTTTTCTTAATTTTAATTTCCTTCTTGTCTGCCCCGCCGCCGCAAGATCGCGTGCGCCATGTTGCTCATCTTACCGGTAGGCTTCTTGGCCTACGTCGGCCCGAAGCAGCAAAACGAGGCGCAACCACGCACAACGACGGAGGACTTCATGGTCCAGCCGCCGTGGATACCGTTCCCGACCACCATGTCCTTCCGCCGCCACGAGGCGGAGTGGATCGCCGCCGCGTTCCGGCCCAACGCCTCCGGCGTGTCCAACGCGGACCGCTTCTGGCAGCTGCACCACACGAGCTGCCGCCTCATCGTCCACCGCAGCTGCCCCGAGGCGGAGCCGCGTTTGTTCCCGCTCGTCACAGACCTCTTCGGCAAGCCCGTCGTCCCCGCGGGCCTCCTCATGCCCGAGGACGATGACGACGACGGCGCCCGGGGCGGTGACGACGACGGGTCCTTCTCTGACGCCGTGCGGTGGCTGGACAAGCAGCCCAAGCGGTCCGTCATCTACGTGGCGCTCGGGAGCGAGGCGCCGGTGACGGCGGACCAGGTCCGTGAGCTGGCGCTCGGGCTGGAGCTCTCCGGCGCGCGCTTCCTCTGGGCGGTCCGGCGGCCTGTCGTCCACTCCGGCGCGCTGCTGCCGGACGGTTTCGAGGCCCGCGTGGCGGGGCGCGGGGTGGTGCGCGCCGGGTGGGTGCCGCAGGTGCGCGTGCTGGCGCACGCCGCGGTGGGCGCGTTCCTGACTGGGCGCGTTCCTGACGCACTGCGGCTGGGGCTCCACCGTGGAGAGCCTCTTCCGGTTCGGCCTCCCGCTGGTGATGCTGCCGTTCATAGCGGACCAGGGCCTCATCGCGAGAGCCATGGCGGCGAGCCGGGTCGGCATCGATGTGCCGAGGAACGACGCTGATGGATCGTTCCGTAGGGACGACGTCGCGGCGGCGGTGCGGCGTGTGATGGCGGAGGATGAGGGCGGGGTGCTCGCTCGCAATGCCAGGGAGATGCAGAGGGTGGTCGGCGACAGGGCAAAGCAAGAGCAGTACGTGCATGAGCTTGTGGACTATTTGCAGCGCTACAAATAAGATTCTTATTCAGCCCTTTTTAGTGTTATATAAATCTTTCATTGTCCGAATAAGTCGTCTCATAATTTGGTTCCAAGTAAAATGCACTGGCGCTCTTAAACTTAGTTACAGCTCAAACTCCTAAAATGCCCACCTGCCTACAAGAACTTGGCTTTGGTTACGACGCATGTCCAAATGGGCTTAGCCTTGACAGCCGTCCAAGTGGGCTCATCCCGACCCGTTTGCCGACGATGTGGCCTCCACGCTGGCCACGAGCTGGTTCCGACGGAATTTTTAGTGGGGGAAAAGGCTCAACTCTTCTTTTCCTCTTTCTTCTCTTCGTGAGTGTGGGGAGAAGAAAACGGAGAAGAACAGGTGAGCCTTTTCTCAAATAAAAAATCCGCAGCAGCCGGCTTATGGCTAGGGGATTTATATTTTTGACGATCAGGGAAGTTGATATTATTGTTCTTGGGGTAGCTTAGCTCTGTTTCTTTTATTTTCTGTCAAGCTCTTATCTCTGCCTAAAAAATGTGACGGAAATGCCGACTTTGCATTTGCTGCGAGCATAGCATTGGAATTTTGTTATTCCCATGATGTTATTCATTGGCATCCCGTTGACAGGAAAAAAGATCAGGGGAGGTTACATTTGAACTCAAGGTGTCTGGAAGTTCCGACGTGTCCAAAACTTCCCCAATCCGAACTCTCGTTGAAACTATCGTATGCTTCAAGGGTCAGAACTATCTAAACTTTTGACTCTCGTCGAAAGTTCCAACGTTCCATGCCCGAGCCCAGTTTTTATAGTTCTGATCCGAACTCCTCTAAACTCATGGGGAACTTTCGGATTACAACTTGGGATGGTTTTCTAGTGGTATGAGACCACCCCTTAAGGAAAATAGACCCTGTGGACCATTTAGTTTGGCTTTTTTGCGTTTAATGATCAACATGACCATTTGGACTAACTTTTACTTTTGCCAGGCCCACGCGCCACGCCTGCTGAGCCTGCACGCCGCACTGCGCCATCCTCTGCGCTGGAGCCAACCCGCGCCCCATCAGGGGACTCGAGCCGGGGCCAGGGACGGTGATGGCGAGACGGGGATCGGGGCCGCCACGCCGGGGGTCCGGATTGGGGGCCGAGGTGGCCATGGTGGACGCAGTGGGAGAAGATGCGTTGAAAAGAAAAAAAAAGAAAAATACATAAATTGTAATCTGACAGGCAGCGCAATGGGGGCAGAGATTATTGGTAATCTAGCATCTCCCCAATAAACCAAAACATAATACTAAACCACCCTCATTATCATCTTATTGGAGAAATAGTATTGTGGAGCTCCCGAAGATGCTCTAATATTTCGACTACAATGTGTCCGTCCTTATTTTGCCAATTTGATTATATTGTACAATCTAATAGAAATGTTGCAGGATGAACTCGAGTGGTCATGAAACCTTCATACGATGCATAGGTCTTGCTACCATAACCTAAATTTGCTTCATAGACTTCTTTAATTATGTCATGTATATCGTCATCAACATTGGCAGCAGCATTCCCAGATCCTCCTTGTTCAGATTTGAGAATTACTAGGTAAACCATGATGATTTTCTAAAAGTTGTGGACCTTCATTGGAACAGCACAGCCTTTTTTTTGCCAATGCAGCTAAACCCTGTCTGCCAAATTCAAATAGGCTATGGCTGGTTTTAAAAATTGGAGAAAAAGTTTCCAAGGCCTTAGCAAAGCCCTCCACAACTCCTACTGGGTCTTGTTACTACTTGATGGTTTTGAAGACCAAAGACCCCTCTCTTGGCTAGAAAGGGCCTTTAGAACTCCAACTAAAGATCACATTAACAGACTTCTTGAATCTAAGAGAATTTTCTTTGAAACAGAGAAATACCACTAGATGGGTTAAGTTGGGAGATGAGATGAATACAATTACTTTCAAGCAATGGCCACCTTGGCCCACAACACAAACTCTATTTCCAGCATCACTACTCAGGATGGCATTCTAGTGATAGATCATGAACAAAAGGCAGGCTTGCTTTGGGATGCTTTCAAGAGCAGAATGGTTTTGAGCCAATTCAGTGGTATCTCCTATAACCTTGGTTTTTTCCTGCAAAACCACCAGTTGGATTTCTTGGCTGATGATTTCAATGAAGCTAAAATAGATTCTGTCAAATCTTCCATCCGTAAGAGTCATGCCCCAGGCCCTGATGGCTACAATGGGTTATTCATCAAGAAGTGATGACCCATTATCAAGCAAGATTTTCTCGGGCTCTTCAAAGACTTCAGTGACAACTCCATTGATTTAACCAGCATTAATTCCTCTCTCATAGCCCTTGTTCCAAAGAGAAGTAACCCTTACATGCCCATATCCTTACTCGCCGCCACAACCAAGGTATCCCCGCATTTTCCAACCAAGCCAAGGATGCCGACCGCTATTGCTCCCACTGTCGGGCGATGGGAAGAGGGGGAACAAGTAGAGCCCAAAAGAATTGGGATATCGAGCCGTCCCTAGAAATCAATTTCTCAAGGTGAACCGAAATCCAACCACCTCTAAAACTTAATTTACGAAGGTCGGCCAGGCGAAGGAGACGGGTGTGGGGGCTTAGCGACGGGGCTACCGCTGGCCACGAGTGGCGGGAGATGGCGATTGAGTCAAGGAAGGACATGGGAGTCATGCCGATGGCCCGATGACATCAGGTTAACACGACGAAGAGAGCAGCAGGGATAGGCTTGCCGGCGGGGACACCGTTGAGGATGGGAGGCGGCCAACGATCGGTGGAGGAGCCATAATGGAGAGTGGTTTTCGCTACGAGGAAGAAGAAAGGGAAGTTGAAGGAGAACTATAGTAGCTGAGCAGTGACAGTCAAATTGACACCCGATAGCCACTGTTCGTCACCTGAAAAATTTGATAAAACAATTCTTCAATGTTTCAGCCTATCATGTGCTTGAATTTTAAGATGATTTTATGCATCACTCTTTTATCACCAACTAGCATAAGTAAATTGTTACTTTTGTTATTTGTAATTTGTTTTTATGTCATAATATATCAAATTTCTATTCTTGTTTGATTATAGAAACAATTGTAAATAGTAAATTTGTTAATTATTTTTGTGCTAACACAAATCAGATTTTATCAGGTTTATAATTTTGTCTGATGAGTTTTTTATTCTCGAAACCAAAAATTACAACATACTAAAGCTACAATTTTAATACAAGATATATGCAATAGTTGTTGCCCGGAAGAAAACCAAAATTCAGACACCTAAAATTTAGCGAGTCCCTTGGGACGGATACATTGATCTTCGTCCTGATAATCTCCTCGGCGGCGCAGCAAGTGCTCGACCAGCTCATCGATGTAGCGCTCCTGCGTCGCTGTGTCCCAGAGAACCTCCTGCAATCCCTTGGCGTTGCGCGAGAACTCCTTGCCTTCCTCCTCCACCATCACCCGCCGCACGGTCCTCGCGACGTCCTCGCCGCGGAACTCGCTGCCGCAGTCGTCCCACGGCACCTCCAGGCCGACCCGCCGCTCCGTCATCAGGCGCGCGGTGAGGCCCTGATCGGCGAACAGGGGCACCATCACCAGCGGGTGGCCGAACAGGAAGCTCTCCATGAGGGAGCTCCACCCAACGTGCGTCATGAAGGCGCCCACTGCGGCGTGCGCGAGCACGCGCACCACCCCGCGGCCGCCCACGCGGCCCTTGAACCCGTCCAGGAGCTGCGTCCGCTCGCTGCCGACCGGCTCCCGGAGCGCCCAGCCCGAGCGCGAGCGCGCGGACGTGCGCCGGCGTCAGCGGCGCCTCGCTCCCGAACGCCACGTAGAGCACGGAGCGCTCGGGCTGGGCATCGAGCCAGCGCATGAGCCTCGCGCTCTCCTCATCGTCGTCCTCGCCCCTCGCCGTCGGCAGCCACGGCGCGAACGGCTGCGTCGTACGGTGCCAGGAGGCCCGAGGGGAGGACGGGCTTGCGGTAGAGGTCGCCCAGGAGGGGGCAGAGCGGGCCGTCGACCTCGTGGCTGCAACGGCACACGATGAGCGGGCACCGCTGCGTCGTCTCCCAGATGCGGCCGACGTCGGAGATGCCGGACGCGTTGGGCTGCCACCCCCCTGCGGTCCACTCAGCCTCGTGGCCGCGGAATGCGAGACAGGACGGAGAAGGGATCCGCGGCGGCGGAACGGTGAAGTCCTCCGCCGCGGATGGCGGGTGCGCGTCGTTGAGCTCCTTTGGGCCCACGAACGCGACGCAGGCCGCAGGGAAGATCAGGAACACCGCGCACGGCACCTGCACTTGCCACGGAGACGGTCGGTCAGACACTCGGACGAAATACGAGAAGGTGCTGTGGCGGTGATAGGTACGTGGCTTGTGCTCCTCGGCGATGGGCGGAAGCCAGTGCTGCGCGAAGTCGAGGATGATCCAGTCGGGCTTCTTGGAGTGCCCTTCTCTGGCCTCCCCGTAGGCGCAAGCCTCGGCGAGGAAGGAGGCGAAGGGGGCGGCAAGGCCGTCGAAGGCGATCTTAAGGAGCTCGACCTTCTCCGGCGGGACGTCGGCCGTTGACTCGGCGCCGTCCGGGAGGCCATCCACGAGCGGCAGGGGCAGTGGGACGAGCCGGATGCGCGGCCTAACGTCGGCGGCGACAGGCCTCAGCTTGGCGAGGTTCCTCGGGGCACTGACGAAGGTGACGAAGTGGCCGCGCTTGGCGAGCTGCTCGGAGAGCTCGAGGAAGGGGATGATGTGGCCGAAGGCGAGCCATGGGAACACCACGATGTGCAGAGGAGAGGACTCCTACTTGGATTCTGCCATGAATGGTAATCTTCTTCGTGGAGCTTGATGGATGTGTGTGTGTGAATGCGAACGATGTCTGCAAGATGTGTAGGAGTAGAAAGAAGAAGCGACCTGGGTACTGTACTACTGTTTGCAGCGAAGTGCATAGTAGATGGGGCCAAGATGCATATGGACTAGAATCAGGCGCCCTGCCGTGACTGTTTTTTTTTTTCATGTCTACCCAACAACTATGTGTTTTATATAGTTTTAACATAAGAATTTTTTTTCATCATAGAATTAAGATCTAACAGTCTCCACCCTTCTTCTACCTCTAGTCTCCAACTTTCTTCTATCTTCAGACAATTACAAATCATAAGATCGTAGATCACAGATCACAAGAAACAATTTTTTTCTATAGAATGACAAATCACAGCAGAAGAGAAGACAGTAGCATTGCACCAGTCTGGTGTCAGCAGGCAGGGCCACGCACGCACCGCCCGGCCGCCCCGTTGCTTTTCCACTCCACGCGCTGCCTCGGCCGCCTGCGCCTTGTCCGGTGCGGTGCAGGCAGGCACTGGGGGATGTTGTTGCCATGCGCTCTGCAGCAGCAGCTAAAAAAATCCATATATTTTTTTATACTAAAACACATATGTGTTGTATATTATTTATGTATTTTTTATAGCATTGAATTCCAGGTTGGTTAGATAATTGTTTTATGTATTAATAGTGTAAGAGATTAATTTCTGATGAATGCTTTTCTAATGACTGCTTTGCAAAATTGTACTGCATGTTCATTGACTAATGACAAATCCTATCTCGAGATTATAATTGTGTGCTAGGAATGCTTCATTTCACTTCAAAAGAATCCTGTCACTGCATGCCCGAAGAGAGCATAAAAAAGCAGGCGCGACAGTTAGCCACTTAACCAAAACAGATCCAGAAAGATTTGTACACGAAACACCCCGCTCAATGTCATTCCTCATAATTTAGTGCATTAGAAAAATGATAGAACACGCTCGCATAAAAAAAAAGATAGAACACTGCATCAAACCAGAGTTTCTCCTCCAATTCCAACATCGGCTATTCAAGCCTAGCTAGTTAGCTCAACAACTAACAAATGCAATTCACAAGGCACAACCATCTTAGTAATAATTCATTAATAGTCCAGATACTCCACTTTTGTCGTTGGCTTCGATGGAGCACCATGGAGCAGTGTCACAGTTCGTGCTCTGCCCTTAGCCCGTCATGATTAGGACATTTAACGGGCATCATATCTTCTACAGTTACGCTTAGAAACATCTAGTAACAATCTAATCATCCCAAACATCTCCTTTGGACTTTAGAAAAATCAAATAATCTTTATTATGTGGCACATCGTAAGCTTTAGTTCCAACCCCAAATTATTACAGCAGCCTCAAGGACCATATGAGAACATCTAGCCGAAATTACATCATTTGACAGGAACTCTCAAGATTTCTAATCATATCACTTGGTTTGTTCAAAGTATGGAGCTTCACAAAATCATTATTTAGTGAACATGGCAATATGTTTATCAGGCTATTCCCATGATCTCTTATTGAGAAGGAGCAGCATCCATCAACATACAACAGGAGAACATGGCATTATTTATATATGACAATTAGTTTCCAAGCACTAATAACGGAAAGCATCTTCTGGAAGCACATTTCAAAGGGGACTTAAACTGACAGATCGAGCATCTAAAGTGATAGCAATACAGAGAAAAACACCTCTGGCTCCTTGTCCTCAATTTCAGTAATCATCCCAGTATTCTAGGTATGATCATCAGCACGCTAGCACCATCAAGGTTTTATTCAACATATTATGCAGAAATAATTGTCAAAATATACATAGATTATGTTCAAGTCAACCAGTCTAAAATATATAATAGCTTGAATACACAAAGAACGATCTACTCCAACCGCAACAAATTTACCCAACGATGGAGAGATAAGCATTAATAGACTTCAGAGCATCTTGTGCACTACTTTTCAAATGGCTAGCGCTACATCCTATAGGTAGTACATAGCAACTAAATTAAGAGCTAACTGAACTAAATTAAGAGCATTTTACAGAACTTGTAAGAACAAAAAAGTCAATAATGCTTGTCCTTCCATATGAGTAGCCTGAAAATGCTTCAGCAAGGACCACACATTGGCAATCTGATCAAAATCAAGAGCATTTTACAGGACCTGCAAAGAAAGAACATTCATCTCCTCAAAGGTAGCCCGTGCATCAAGCAAACACTGCCAAAAAGACCGGAAGAATTACCCAAGTGAGTTCCACTCCACCTTATCGCAACACAGGAACCCCCAACCATCTTGTTGATCCTTTATTGAAAGTTTCTGGTAAAAAAACGAAAAACTATCCATTGGTCATTTGTTCAGATGGGCAAAAGGATCAGAATATAAAACAACTGCCTGAAACGTAATATCAGTACAACAGGTACAAAATATGAGAACACAAACAATCTCTGAACTTAGAAGGGCAGAAGTTCAACTATAAGCCACCGAATTGCATGCTGCACAGATCTGTTCTGTGCAGGATGTCATCGTTTATTCACTATACTTTGAATCACAGTTAGCAAACATGTTATAATGTCGAGTTCCAAACATCCTCGGCATCATATATACCATAAATCAATGTTCCATGTTTCCAAGAGGAATTTGCACTGTTCATTTAAGTTAGTGTCTTCAAAATAAAGTTATCCTTAAAAACTTAAACTTAGGATAACTGACGGAGGGAGAAGTAGGACAATGACATACTTAGGTTTCAAACGATATCAAATAAAGAAGGGCATGTTCTCCTGGTATTAAAGCCGGTTGAAACTGATTTGTTGCGAGAGAAAAATAATGTAGTAGTTGATATGCTGGCTGATAAGTTTAAGCGAACAGGCCCGAAAAAACAGGAATTAAGGGCTCATGTGGCGCAGCTCCTGGGGGCTCCGGCTCCTCACCGCGCGACACTGTAGCAGGAGCTCGGAAATCGAGGAAACAAATGAACTGGGGGAGAGGAGGAGCCGGTGAAGCCACGATTTCGAGCTTCCAGAGCTCCGTGCTACAGTACTGCTACACCAATACAGCTAGCACATACTGAAAATGATAGTGGCCCAACGCCAACCATGGGAACACCAATACAGCTAGCACATACTGTAGATCGGAGTTTGAATTCAACTAGCTAGCCATTGCAAGTCTGTTGTTTCTACCTGAATCTGAATTGATGGCCGCATGCACAGCTCATGTTTGCCTCTCAGTAGGCCAGTATTGATTCACGTTAAATGCTGGTACCAAGTCGTAATAAGAGTCCGTGGGGGGTCTTTATTTTAAGAAAACACACACATCATCATCTATAAAAAAGGATGGAGCCATTTCATAGTTAAAAGTTTGCTCTCTTCAGTACTGTATGTAAGATTGAAGATATGCCAAGAAACCAAATGATTTTTTAACGGAGTTGCTAGCGCTCGGACGTCTGATCGGGGTGTTTAGCTTTGGACGGTGCAAATTCCCGCTGAAATGTTAATATGCGAATAAAAAATCCCCCACCTCACCATGCTTATTTGTAGCCCCACCCACACGCCTGACACGCCCGCTCTGACGCCTGACCCGCCCCCAACCCCATCCGTTCGCCCCGCCCCTGCAGGTGCACCCCCGCCCCGTCGTGCCCCAACCGCCGGCCCCCAGCGTGCCGCGCGCCACGTCCGTCGGCCACCGGCTCACCGCGCCCCATTCCCCGGCGCCCCCGAACAGCATGAAACACGTGCAACATAAAACACTTGAATGCAACATACGTCTGAAACAGATAAAACATCTAGAACATATACTTGCAACATATTTGTGAAAACATATGCAACATGAAAGCACTTGATGCAACAGAAGAGTGAAACAGATGAAACATTTTTAACATACTGTTGCAACATATGTGTGAAAACATATGAAACATCCAGATCAAAACGCTTGCAACATACGTCTGGAAACAGATGAAACATTTTGAACAAACGCTTGCAACATATGCAACATCCCCCGATCTACTTTTACAATATCCATATGAAACAATTGCAACATATATCTGAAATACCTAGAACACTTGAAACATACCTATGCAACATAGAGGAGGGGAAGGTTGGGCCAGTCGATTCCGATCGTCGAGGTCGGAGATGGTGGCGAGTGGCTGCACGTGAGCACCACCGTCACTAGCACCACCAGTACCGGGCTTGGCTCGACGGAGACAGTGGGGGATGAGGGGTGAGGAGCGCCATGGCCGTCGAGGTGGGGGGAGCTCGGTCGTCGGGGCGAGAGAGGGCGCCGCGCCGGGGTCGGGGAGAGCCGCCCACTCCCCTACAACACCGCCGTATCTCGCTAGTGCTCCATGGATCTCGCCGGGGTGGGGGAGAGGGCCACCGGATCTGCAGCATTGAGGGCTCCCGGTGGGTGAGGGCGCCGAGGTGGGGGGAGGGGCACCGCCGGGGTGGCCAAGCGAGAGAGAGAGAGAGAGAGAGAGAGCATAGCAGCAAGGAAGCATGAGAGAGAGGAGCTCGTTGGGCAGGCGGCGTGTGCGGAGCGAAGCAAGGCGGCCAGGAGTTGATTTTGTTTTTTTTATTTATTTAGGCGAGCGATGCGTGCGGCAGTTAGGTAAAGTTGTGGTGCGCGTCACGCCACGCGTCCGGAGAGGAGTCGCTGTCGTCGAATGTTCTGTCTGTAGTCCGTTTTTTTAAAGAAAGGCGCAAGTATTTCATAACAAATGTTCACCAATTTATACTGAATGATACAAGAACCAAACTATTAGAGACAACATTATTCGGACAATACTGAAAGATACACTGAAATAACTGGATAAATCTTATTTGTAGCGCCGCAAATAGTCCACAAGCTCATCCACGTACTGCTCTTGTTTTGCCCTGTCGCCGACTACCTTTTGCATCTGCCTGGCATTGCGCGCGAGCTCCCGACCCTCTTCCTCCGCGATCACCCGCCGCACCGTCGCAGCGACGTCGTCCCCGCGGAACGACCCGTCGTGCTCGTCCCTGGGCACCTCGACGCCGACGCCGTGCGCCGCCATGGCGCGCGCGATGAGGCCCTGGTCGGCGACGAACGGCAGCATCACGAGCGGGAGGCCGAACCGGAAGAGGCTCTCCACGGTGGAGCCCCAGCCGCAGTGCGTGAGGAACGCGCCCACGGCGGCGTGCGCCAGCACGCGCACCTGCGGCACCCACCCGGCGCGCGCCACCCCGCGCCCCGCCACGCGGGCCTCGAACCCGTCCGGGAGCAGCGGCAGCGCGCCGCCGGAGGGGTGGCCGGCGGGGCGACGGACCGCCCAGAGGAAGCGCGCGCCGGAGCGCTCCAGCCCCAGCGCCAGCTCCCACACGTGGTCCGCCGTCACCGGCGCCTCGCTCCCGAGCGCCACGTAGATGACCGACCGCGCCGGCTGCTCGTCCAGCCACCGCATGACGTCCGAGAACGACTGGTCGCCGTCACCGCCCGGGCCGGCGTCGTCGTCGTCGACCACCTCGTCGGGCAGGAGGAGGCCGGAGGGGACGACAGGCTTGGCGAGGAGGTCCGTCAGGAGCGGGAACAGCCGCGGCTCCGCCTCGGGGCAGCTGCGGAGCACGATGAGGCGGCAGCACGGGCGCTGCATCTCGTAGAAGCGGTCCATGTCCGACACGCCGGAGGCGTTCTGCCGGAACACGGCGGCGATGGCCTCCGCCTCGTGCCGCCGGTACGCCATGGTGGTGGGGAACGGGATCCACGGTGGTTGCACCATGTAGTCCTCAGTCGTCGTCCGTGGGTGCGCCTCGTTCTCATGCCGCGGGCCCAGGAACGCCAAGATCGACGCCGGCAGGATGAGGAAGATGGCGCACGCAATCTACAGTAAACGAATAGGAGTAAACAAGTCTCACAAAACCGAGATATTCTTGTCGGAACGTATCACAAATTTTGTCGGCTACTCTTGGAGAACAAGTGGGGCATGATGTACCTCGTGTTCCTCGGCGATTGGCCAGATCCAGTTCTGCGCGAAGTCGAGGATGATAAAGTCGGGCTTCCTCGAGAACCCAACCCCAACAGCGTCGCCACTGCCACTACCGCCGCCGCCGGCGTCGGCGTCGGCGCAGGCCAGCGCGACGAGGTGGGCGAACGGCGCGGCGAGGCCGTCGAAGGCCTTCTTGAGCAGGCCGACCTTCTCGGGCGGGACGTCGGCGGTGGACTCGGCGCCGTCCGGGAGGCCCTCGACGTCCGGGAGGCCCAGCGCGACGACGCGGAGGCGCGCAGACAGCTCCGGCGGGACGGCGCCCAGCCTGGCGGCGTTCCTCGGCGTGGACACGAAGGTGACGGCGTGGCCGCGCCGCGCCAGGCGCTTGGAGAGCTCGAGGAACGGGATCATGTGGCCGAACGCCAGCCATGGGAACACCACGACGTGGAGATGAGGAGGAGACGCGCCGGCGGCGCCGCCTTCCTGTTGGGTTTTTTGGGCCATGGCTGCTCCTGCTTCTGCCCAGCGAGCTGGGTACTGAGACTGATATAGACGGGAGTGAGCTGTCCGTATTTATAACTGTGTGGACCATGCGTTTCATTTATTTAACCTGCCGCGACCACTGATCATTGATTTGATAATAGTACGTATAATAGATATAATCATGTAATGTTCACGTCGGGTAGCGTAGTCGACGTGTCTGCATCTTGTTCCATTATTTGTGTAGTATAAAATGTTTTAATTTGGAATTTGGATCCGTCTTTATCTCACATTTTGGGCTGTGAGGTTTAACCTCCAGTGGCAGAGTAACATCTGATTTTTACGGAGAAGCTGTCTCACTCGATGAAGTTGGATTTTGTCCGCATGACATCAACACCATGATTCTCAGTGTTTAGGGGTATATATAGGTTAAGGTTTTCACCGCGGACGAGTGTCATACCCAGTTTTAAAGACAAAATTAGAAATAAACCACATATGTGTTCAGAAATTAATTACAGATATATAGAGATAAATTTTAAGAGAATACGAAGCATAATGCTTTATTACATCACGAGTATTAATTCATTATATAAAAACCAAAGTCTCAGCATGCAGAAATAAATAGCTAAACTCCAAATGACGTCTCCATAACCACACGTACGGTTAACTGGTTGATCGCAAGACTAGTAATCATCAAGAAAATTCTCATAACCATTGCAATCTGTTACCCATCCGGGATTTTTATCCAAGTAGTGAAAATAAACCAGCGTAAGTACATCTCGTACTCAACAAGAATAACATGGGGTACATGAGGCTCAAAAAGATAGACACTGGTTTAACTGTGGTTAGCTTTTATGGAATCACAATTTTAAGCAATTGAGTAGCAACAAATTTAACATAAACCCAAATAAACACATGATCAGGTAAACATGAATAATGAATAGCATAAATATAATTATCATTAATGATCATCTATTCCATAAGGGTCCAAGGTCGCTCGTGACCGTTGTGGCAGAACCTCCTAAGAAATCGGGCCCACGTGCACCTATCGTTGTCTCCACAGACCTTTGATAGCGTATACAAGTTTCCAACAATTTAACAGGTCTGTCGGGTGTCCTCGGAAAACCCGAATCATCCACGATCTTTTCCAAATAGGATCCCAATCACAGTCATTGCAGATTACAACAGTTTTCAATATACATACCAGAGATTATAAAGCGGAAGACTTAAGTTTTAATATTACAAACCAGTTGTTTCAAACTTACAAATCCATAAGTGTCATACAGCCATAGTAGCGGGATAATATTACATTAACATTATTTATTTCACACAAACTAGTGCCTTGTCCAAAGGCCATTCATCATTCCTCATCGTGATCGACTTCAAACACTGACATGCAGCAGGGACCAAAACAAGCCTGCGCATGCGACTCACCTGCAACAAGGGTTAACAAACCCTAAGTACAAAAGTACTCAACAAGACTAACCCGACGAAAAAGGGGCGAAGGTTTTATGGATGCAGGTATTGGGTCAAGGTAAGGGTGTAGCAAGATTCAAAAGTTCTTTGCCAAAAGCTTTCTATTCTAGATCCTATTTTCGAGTTTTACCCCTAAGTACTTTAGTTCATTATCTCAAACTAAGTGTTCATATCCCATATTCCAATCCTTCTCATTCCATTCTTTTTCTCATGTTTTAGTAATTCACCGGTCCTGCATTGCTTCTGTAATGAATCGAGTCTCCATATCCGCGGAGCACCGGCAATTCGAATTGATTCAAGTCCCAGCTGGGGATTCCTTATCACACGACATATGTAGAACTTAATCTTGCATATATCAACCTCGCTACCGGATCCTCCCATACTAAGCCGTCTCCACGCCACCCGAGAGCACATCACAACTCAAATCCGGCCACAGTCCAGCCACGAGGGTACACGCTACTCCTGCCATCTCTTCACTCCCAGTGCGTGGGCATTCGTCTTAGTATCGGATTAGCTGAAGTAGGCTTATCGGAGTATGTGACCAGTACTACAAAGTGTCTCGTTTAGAAGATCCACAATGAGTGTCCTTTAAGCGACATAGTCGACAACATTACCCAACATTCAAGATAAGTCACCCGACTAGTCTCTAGTTCATTCTATCTTCTTTCTTTCTTTGGCCAGTATGCCATCTTTGATTGTATCAAAACTTTTACTTTGAAAACCTACCATAAAGCATACTAAGCAATTCTACGCCTTTGTAAATGAAATCATCTTCAAGGATGGTAAACAATTTAACAAGGTAGGCAATGCATCAAGTAGGTAACATTTGAATTAATCAACTTAATGCAATAAGTAACATAGGTGATAAACTTTTTAAAGTAAACAAGATAATGGTTTAATGCATAAACCGGGGCTTGCCTTCGTTGACGATCTCGGGTTCCGGATCAGTACCACAAATATCGAATCCCAAGACAACCGGGGATTCTTCCACAACTTGCTCAACTAGAATCGGTTCACTCTCAGATTCTACAAATTTCCAAAGTGGCTGCACTATTTAAAATTCAGAAAATATCAAAACCTCACTGTTCTCTCTCTCTCTCTCTCACTGACGACCCGGCCCCGCTGTCAGCGACACAGAGAGAACGCACGGCGGCGCTGCCATCACCGGTCGGCCAAAACGCGCCGGCGGTGATGCTCCGGTGAGGCGGACCGCACCTGTATGGCCTACCCTACCCCACAAATCTATCCTAGCCTTCAGAAAGGCAGCAGGCGCACCAGAGAGAGCTCCACGCCGGTCATGGCGGCGCGGGCACGACGGCGCACGACGTAAATACCGTTACGATGCAGTAGAGGCTAAAGCGAAGTGAGCATCACGCTCAGGAGCTCACCACGATCACGCCATTGTGCTTGGTGAAGGCGGAGACGCGCTAGAACGACATGGCCACGGTGAGGTCGATGGTGGCGGAGCTCCGGCCAGTCACAGGGAAGAACGCGTTGCGCCGGGCGATTCCGGCTAACCCAAGCGATGCGAGCAAGCCGAAGAGGAGCGCAAGGTCGAGGCGATCACGCTGGTGTAGCTAGGCACGACGGACATGGTTCGACAGCAGCTACGGCGAGCGGCGAAGCTGATCGGTGGCGGAGCAGAGCAGAGAGGAAAAAGGAGGATGACGGCGGCGGCGGTGCTCCTATTTATAACAGGGAAGGACGCGTCCGGCGTCGATAGCTCACGCATGAGCTCGCCACGGAGCTTGCTGCGTGTCACTGTATGAGAAAGCGGCGAAAAACGATCGACGGTGGTAGCTGCGTGGCGCCGGCGGCAAGCAGGGAGGTGGCGCTCGGCTTGGTTTTGATTTTTGAAGTATTTACAGAATTGCCACTGCGTTTATTTTGCAAATTACTCACAAATTTTCTAAAGAAGTTGAAAATCTCCAAAAAATGAAAGTTGCTCAATTTTTCAAACTCTACAACTTTGCTTCAAGGAACATTTTCAAATTTTGTCTCTATTTTGAAATTTGAATTTGGGGTGCATTTGAGCATTTGAATCATTTCAAAATTATTCCAAATTTTATATGTAAACTTTAAAAACTTTGAATACCAAAGTTGATCCTTATTAAATAAGCTTCAACTTTGATTTTTGTTATACCCCCAAATTCCAAATAGATTTTGAATTAGACAAAAGGGGCAAAAAGGACTTTTATGGTTTGAAATTGAATTCAAATTTGATTTGTATACCTTTTCACTTAACTATGATTTTTACCAATAACATGGCCCATTAGAGTTATTTGAGTCAAATGACACATGGTCTCACATGATCACACGAAATTTGACCCTTGTGGTAATGATTTTCATTTGGAGTTTTGGATCACATTACATCACATAAAATAACAACTTATGAAATAAAGCTTATTTAGTGAATGCATTCAAATTTTTCTACTTTATGAATGCTTTGCAATGCATATGATGACATGTCAAGTTTTAATGTTAGGTTAAAACACCAGAGGTGTTACAACCCTTCCCCCTTAAAGAAATCTTGTCCCAAGATTTAAAACTTAGGATTAAGTAATGGAAAAGGAAATGTGTCAAGCTAACACATCATAACTTTATTCAAAAGACTAGTGAGGGGTTGTTCATTCTTTTGACAAAAGAGACAAGTTACAACATAGACAAGGCATTGCAACTAGAGAGAAGCAAAGAAGTCAGGAAAGTTTTCTTCTAAGTAATTCTCGGACTCCCAAGTAGCTTCTTCTTCAGTGTGTTGGTTCCATTGTACTTTGTAGAACTTGATTGTACGTCTTCGAGTGACTCGATCTTTCTGATCTAAGACTCTAATGGGGTACTCGGCATAAGTCAAGTCAGGTGCTAGTTCTACATCACCAAATTCGATCACTTGATCAGGTACTTGAAGACACTTCTTCAACTGGGATACATGGAAGATATCATGCACAGCTGACATGTGATCTGGTAGCTTGACGTGATAGGCGACTGGTCCACATCGTTGTTGGATTTGAAAAGGACCGACATAACGGGGCGCCAACTTTCCCTGAATCCCAAAACGATGAACTCCTTTCATCAGTGATACCTTGAGGTAGACATGATCTCCCACTATGAATTCTAACGGTCGTCTCCTCTTATCAGCATAGCTTTTCTATCGGGATTGAGCTACCTTCATATTAGCTTATATGAGTTTAACTTTCTCTTCAGCTTCCTTGACCACATCCGGTCCAAAGAACTAACGTTCTCCAGCTTCTGACCAATTTAAAGGTGTCTGGCATCTACGGCCATACAATGCTTCAAATGGTGCCATTTTAATGCTCTTTTGATAGCTATTGTTATATGAGAATTTAGCTAAGGGAAGGCATTCATCCCATATAGCACCATAGGAAAGAACACATGCTCTCAACATATCTTTAAGAATTTGATTTATCCTCTCAGTCTGTCCATCTATTTGTGGATGATAAGCAGAACTGCGGATAAGTTTGGTTCCCAAAGACTCATGTAAACTTTTCCAAAACTTGGATACGAAAAACGACCCTCTGTCAGAGACGATG